CCGCCGCTTCCCGCGGGCGGTGGGGGCTGACGGCGCCATTGGCAACGCGCGGGCTACAAATCCAAAGGGTTTATTCGGCTTCACGGCATAAAATACAAACCATAACAATGCCTTGAAATGCATAATACAAGTTCCGCTTGTAAAACACAAGGCGCATGCAAAACCGCCTCTTAAAAAAAGAACACGTCATCTACCTAAAGTACAAGCACTTCAAAGGGCGGGAGCGTTTCCACCGTTGCTCGTAGTGTTGCCTGGTAATTGTGCAGATGATAAAGCGCGCTTGGTGCTGGCAAAGATGCTACTGACACGGGAACTCCATGTGTCCCCGTGCCTTTCAGTGGGGGTTATTTAAGTTTCTCTGCAAAGGCAGTCGAGAGGAGGGGGGGGGGTGTCACCCACCCCCAAACTATTATTGTGGTAGCTCTTGTAACAGAAAGTGTCCCATATTGGTCCTAAATGTCCATCAAAGGGCTAGCAGTGGCCACAGGTAAAATCCTGAGGTTACTCTTACCGCTAGGACCTGGATTCAGTGGGAACCATCACCACAGTGGCTTTATGAAAAGATAAATGTGCAGAAATAAAACAATACATTACAGGCCTCAATCTGAAATCCCAGCCTCGGAAAAATGAAGGATTTTGTCAACTCTTTCAGCAGGCTTGGGAGCCCTTCCTGGCACAGCATACAAAGGCCATGTCAGAATCTCCTTCCCTCTTTCAGTCTTCAATCTCCATTAAATTCAAGCATTTTTCTCTCATCGCGTTTGCATTATAATGCTAAAGAAAACTCTCAGAAAAGGATTTGACTTCAGTATTTTAAGAAAAGTAGCCATTCAGCTTTAGGTTTTGGGCCCCCCTTTGCTAGGGAACCTGTTTTGTGCTGCCCAGACATTTTCTATTTTTAAAAAATAATAAGGGAAAGTGAAGGCAGGAGGTGAAACAGTCCAAAGCTGAATGACCAGAGAAAAAACAGTGTGTGGCAATCAGTCTCATTTTGCTGTAGGAGACAAGGAAAACTCTGCTCTTCCTGTAATGATCTCTGCCTGCAGACAGAAAGCGGGGATGCTCCACTAGCCAGAGACGCATGTGCAATCTCAGGAAGCTGAAATCCCGACCTTCTGCCCGGGGGCTGCTTCAAAGGCGCTGCCAGCACAACTGCTCTGCAGCCAAGCTGGTTTGATAGCCTCCATCTCAGAGGAGGTGGCCTAGCACCCAGGTGCTTCCTGCCTAATGAACCAAGTGGCAGTGGCCATTAAAAAACCTGTACTCCCGTAAAAATTTGGGCATGGCTCCAATTACGGCTTTTTTTTTTTACTCGCAGAAGGGCCACCCCTGCTATATGAGCGGGATGGTGAGGAAGCCCTGACCAAGCGCATCCAAAGTCACACAGCGCTTTGGAGACCTAGCAAAGCCCGGGCATGGACAGCTGGGCCGAGCACAAATACTGTTCAGGATTCAGCTGTTTTCTTCTCGGCGCTGCAGAATAACCCACAGAATTACTCCAAATGCGATCAGACAGAAAGCAGAGCGCAGCTCCTCATTTGCAGGATTTAGGATTTAGTTGCGAAGGCAGGTAGCGTGGAAATTGTGCCATTTGAATGGGACAGATTAACGTTAAATATAAGCTCTTTAGTAGTGTTACTAGCACAATCCTGGCTTATTAAAGCAAAGTAAGCTTCTTAAAAGTGAAACTGCCCTTAAATGAATAATACTGTTTCAGTTCCAGTTCTGACAGAACCGGCTTTGTTAATTTATTTTCCCTTTTAAGTCACTCCTGATTCTTGGGTCTCATGTAGGAACTGCCATTACATTTTGATTTATTTTGGAAGTTTAATCTGTACCGTCAAACTGCGTTATGTAAGTCTGAGACATCAGGGATATTCTTCTCTCTGTATTATATTAAAAAGAAAAAAACCCCAACAAACCAGAAAAATACTTGCCAAATCTGACCCTGGCCCTAAAATACCCACACTCAGAGCGAGGAGGCACCAGGTAGTGCCACCACCCCCTGATGCTGCTGCCCTGCCATGGGGAAGGGGACAGGTTTTCAGCCAGGAATGCTGCAGCACTGAGCATTT